TTCTCTTGTTACTATCATTCCCATCACATTTGATTCTATAGGTAGAAACGTTTTATTCTTAGTTCGAAGAAATTTACGTTTTTTCTTTGTTTGTTGTAATTTGTAGGATATTCTCAGCATTCTGTGATCAGACGGGAATTTTGGAGAGAGAATTTCAAAGTTTGAATCTTTTATCTTTAATCAATATGAAATCTATCTCGTTTTTAGTTTTGCCATTGGGTGATAGCCATGTCCATTTCCGTTATTGAGGTTTCTTAAATATGGTATTAGATATAACGAACTTGTTTGTATAACAGAATTGTAGTAGTCTTTCCCCTCTTTCATTTCTTTCTCCATATCCATATTGCCCACAGATCTTGTGTTCTTCAGGTAGAGGAAGCCCAATTTTTGAATTGAAGTCCCCTAGTATAATGACGTGTTTCCCAGTGTTTGAGAAAGCTTGAGTGACTTGGTTGTAAAATCGTTCCACCACATCTTCTTTAGCTCTTTCGATAGGTGCGTAAGCTTGTATTATGTTTAACACAGTTGACATTCAGTGTGACACACTGAATGTCTAATCTTACGATTATAAGTTTAATTACTATTGACGATAAATCCTACTCCATTTGACCCACTTTTGTCTCCTCTATATATTAAGATATAGTTTCTATATTGTTCTATTTTATGCCTTCAATTTTTACTTCCGATAATCCAATAATATCATATTTTATTTTATCTGGCACTTGATCTAATTCTGGTAATCTATTTTCTGCGAGCAGCGATCTAACGTTGTACGTACAGATGTACATAATATTGTTTTCACATCTTTTTGCTGGAGGGTTTTGGTCTAGTGCTCCCGCGGGGACCAGCCGTGTTGGGAGACGTGGAAGTGTAGTTTGTGGGAAGTTGGTTGTCTTTGATTGTTTGTTTTGGTTTTGGTTTTGGTTATGAGTATCAGCGCGGGTTGTTAGTTTTTTGAGGGTTCTGATATTGACGCTGATCGTCCGCGTTCAACATAGTTGAGTATGCCAGGTTTCAGGATTTCTTTAGTTGCTCCACTTTTCGGCTTTTCTAGGTTGTTTTTTTTCTGTGTTGATGGGATTGGTGAATTAGACTCCTCTCTTTTTCTTTTATCACGGTTTTTGTCTCGTTGCGACGGTGCTTTAATTATTATTTTGTCGTATCTCAGGAATGCGATATTTCCTTTTTTCTTCTCTTCCTCGACCTGTGGCTGGAGCTGTTTGCGTATTTCCAATACTTTTTTGGGGAAATCTTCTTTGATGTAAATACCTGGTGGAAGGTTTGAGTTGCATTTCATTATTGTATGTTTTTTCCACAGTGTTGTGAAAGATACCACTACTGGTCGGTTTTTGTTACTAGTACGACGTCCAATTCTATATGCATTACTGATTTCTTGACTTTCCATGTGGACACCTGTGTCTATAATAATCTCTTTTATGTAGTCTACGAGCTCACATTCTGTTTTTCCTAGCTCTTCGAGTCAAAAAAAGATTAGGTTGTATTTACGCATTTCATTTACGGCATTATCAAGTCTTTGTTCCAGTTCGTTTATCTTTGATTTGAGCATAGTGTTTTCTTCCATCATAGTTTTCATTTTCTCACCATTGCTTCCAAAACGTTCTTAGTGACTGATGTTGTTATGGTTAAAGTTTGTTGTTTTAATTATTCGTCAAGCTTCGAAAGTAGCAACTGCATCATCTCTAAATTGTCCATGTTGCGGTACTTTTTTGTTTTCGTGCGCTGGCAACCCTCTGATTGTCAGTGTCAATGAAAGTTTGTTATTATGTTGGTAGGTCTTTCTGTTTTGTATGTTGGTACCGGGTTGTGACTTGTGTGAAAGTTTTCTAACAAATGAAAGGGCCTTAGCCACCAAGAACACTAGATATTTAAAAATGATCTTGAAATAAAACAAAAAGTTTTCTCATTGAATTATTATTTATTTCACTTTTTATGGATTATTATTTGGACACGAAATCAACATAATTTTGTAATGTTCGTAGTCGTTGTTGAATTACCTAGGTAATTCAAATGAAAAGTTTCTTCCCTACAATGAAGGGCCTGGCTGCAGATTCTCGGGCAATGTAAGCGAAGGAAATGAATACAGGTCTAATCTGTATTAGACCTGTATTCCTGTAAGAGTTGATCCCCCTGATTATGTTGGTACCAAGTCTATTTATATTGCATTGCACTTTTTAGGTTATAGTATTAGCAAGTATTGTTTTACACTTTTCTGGTCGAACTGCGTTATTCACACTATGTTTTTAATCTTGTTATGATCCTTTTTAGTTGTTGGACTGTTTTTTTGTTTTGTAGTCACTTGGTAGATTCTTAATAGCACAAGAGAACAATTAATTTAGCGAAGATCACTGACGTACGTGTTACTGTTGCGATACTCAACCGGAAGTTGGTACAGAAATACCCATATCAATACCAAAAAACCCTACAGCGCAACAAGCAACATTTAGTAGCTACAAACACCACAACACTATTGTAACATTCTTGGTGTGTGCTACACCCTGTTGGCCTGATATTGTTTTGTTCAGATGGATATGCAGGATCTACCAGTGACTACCAAATACCTGACAGAAGTTCCCTTTTAGCTGTTGTTGTTGTAAAAAATGCAATATGGATGTAAAAATGCATAATGCAAAATGGATTCAATGTGTAAAGGGTCTATCACAATTACCTGGTGTAAAATTAAAAAATGATAGACAATTCGCAAAAAATTCTATACATATTGAGTGTCTTATCTGGCTAACATTTAAAATATTAAAAGGTGATGTAAATTCTTTTTATGTGCCATTATTATCAAGAATATTTTTCATTTATATGCTATGTAATTTTAAAGAAAGAATTGTAAAATAAAAGTACAAAGTAATCAGTGGGTTTTATTGTATTGAACCGCCCGGGTCTTCAATCCTCCTTTAAATGAGGAACAGTCCATGTTGAACACATTATTCAGCAGTTTTCACTTGTGAACACCTTTTAAGATTTCCTCAATCGTACCTTAGATTTACGAAGGAAATGCTGAAATCTGAGTCAAGCGATTATAGCGACATCTGCAATTAGCTTTGTGTTTTCTCCTCCATTGGCATCCCTACTCCCTAGCATCCATAGAAGGGATGTGATGGATGCCATAATATTTCTGTAAAAACTGTGTAACAAAATGCTGGCCTCACCTAGTAGACAGTAGTGGAGACATTTACATTTTTTTATCTATACTAAGCGCTCTAACCTAGGCTTTTAGGCTCAACTAAACAGAATAGCTAGAATGCTGCAGGGCCCGAACGACCTGGATATATTTTCGTACCTCCCATGTTATTATAAGAAGCGCATTCTGTTAGCACTTGACTCTTTTCTTTTGTTATTTTTGTCTCTGTAATATTTGGTGTCTTTTTTGTTATTTTTAATTTATGTAAACTTATTAATTAGGCCATAAGCATTATGTTATACACGCCGTCCGTAGGTACCTATTATCGAAGCCACACATTGGTTCTAGTTATGTAACTTGTTTCTTTTTTTCTTGTGTGGCCTTGTTGGTGCGGATTTAAATGAATGTAAATGATGACGTGTGAAATTTGTAATTATGGATTGTTTAATAAATTAATGATCATTTACAAGTTATTTTTATTTATTTTGAAACCATATTTTATACGGATTACTCTCATTTAGGTATTTAGTGTACCTACACTAATTAGTCATACCTATGACAACGCGCTAATGAATAAAATACCGGGATAAATTCTCTTGGTCTTTGTATCAAGCAGGGGTGTTCAGATTAAATAATAATGGCAGATGGCGTTCCAACCGATGGCAGTGCCAATTTTTTTTAAATCTATGATATCATTCCTCTTGCTTAGTTCCGCTGGCTCTGCGACCCAAATGTGACTTAGCCTTCGAAACGAGAAGCTCACTTTCCTGTACAACCAGTTGCTGGCTTACAGGTACGGGTTTTTTTAAACGGACAGGAGACTCAGGTAATGTTAAGTGATATGTGCCGCCCATGGACACTCACACTGGCAGAAAGCTCGCAAGTGCGTTGCCGGCCTTTTAAGAATTCGTACGCTCTTTTCTTGAAGGACACTAAGTCGAATTGGTTCGGATATACTTCAGTGGGCAGCTGGTAAATGCGGTAGAAGACGTAGAAACCCCATATCTCTACGCAACGCCAAGGGATCAAGCCGTTCGGAAATTCATTGGTCGTCAACGATTCGAATCGCTCTTTGTTGAATACGGTCAAGCGGAAGGTGCTGGTACTGGGGAGCTCCTGCCCATAGAGGTGAAAACAGTACTCCGTGTGGGGCCGAATTTGTGGTTTAAAGATTTGCCAGCGGTGGCCCAGATTGAAATAGGTACCGTCTCGCCTTGCTGAGCACACCAAACTACTTAGAGGCTAATTTAGCTTTCCCTACCAAATGACCGCGAAACTGAACGTTATTCGATATGTCAACACCCAGTATTCCGATGCTAGCTGAGGCTTTAAGGAGAGTGTCTTCGAAGAGAGAAGTAGCGACAAAGGGTGTTTTTTTAGCGGAAAACGCACAAACTTATGTCTTCTTGGGGTTAAATGGACTAGATTTAGTCTCTGCCCCAGTTTGAAACAAACAAAGCAGAGTTTCGACTTCAGCCACAAGTTTGTTTTGTTACTCATAGACAACTGGCCGGCCAGTGTTAAGAGTATCCCCAGTGCTGTCGACGCAGAGCAATGAATATTGTAAAGTTGCAACGCATGATGATATGCAGATATGACATATGAGATATTGTACGTAAGAAATATATAAGTATAAGATGAATTACTTGAATTAATCTCAATTTCATGAGCAAACATTTTATTTTTTTCTATACATATAACATAGTGAATATTATCCATATCAAACCGTGGTTTTTACGTTCAAATCTCTAAAACTTGTTAACAAGCGTTATATCAGACATGAAGAAAAATGGAGAAGGCCGAAACCATGTCATATGAAAAGGGGACGTTTATAAAGTCAAAGGCGTATTCATTCTAAGAAAGCCATGCAGGAACAGCAACTTGGTAATGATTGAGGCAACGCGATGACTTCTTCATAGTTTGTACTAAGCACAATTACACGTCGTTCCATATACTTTTGGACACAGTGTCCCTTAAAGCCTCTATTGAAGTTTACCAACTCTGAGCAAGGAGCTTTTAGTCCGTCCCTGAAAACAGATAAAACTATGTACATCGCTCAACAATACGTAAAATCACAAACGATATTTTTTGTATGGGAATCTTGAGCATTATCGGCGAATTGCACCATTTAAACATAATATTACATTTAAATGTTGTAAAAATGTTTTTAAGACAAAGAACTACCATAAGACATTAATTAATAATTGAATTGAATAATGAATATGTCTGTGGATTTAATTGTATTAAGTGTTAGTGACGTAAAGATTTCTAAATTATTGTTATATAATTACCGTTATTTGCAACAATTAATTAATAGCTATAATTGTTTGACTGTCAAAACTATTAGATGAAACTTAAAATTTGTGCATATAAAACAGTGGCGTAACTATACCATCTGGGGCCCGTGGCAAATCTTCTTTTAATGGGGCCCTATCAGTAAAAATCGTCCCTACTTAGTTTAATCGTCTAATAAGAAATCGTTTGTTAGCGATAAGGCCGCCCGTTGCCTAATAACTTATGTAACCTACTTACTTTTTGTTTTTTTTCTATATGTATAATTATGTGTATTATGGCAATGAAGTATAAATAAATAAATTATTTGTCGTCATACTAATGATAATAATAAGCGCCTAACAGCTATATAATTAGGATAAGGAACATCTCTAACCAACACAGAAGGCTGATCATCTACTTGCCTTTAGAAAATGATCACGAAACAAATCTATCGCTGTAGATATAAAACCGTGGTTGTACCGCCATTGTTATTTCTACCTAATTGTTACTACAATACATTTTTGACGTACGGAATTCAGATTTAGGGCTCAGTCTCGTTTCTGCATCTTACCCTAAGTCTCGGGACGTATTCTTTAGTATTGTTTTATATCAGCATTTTAGCGCATCTCACTCAATTTCACTCAGGTGCCGGAAACAGTTATTTAAATAAAAAAAAAATAAAAAAATATTACCTAACGAAACCTAAACTATAACCTATATATTAGGTCCTTACATGAAATTGGCGTTTTGTATAGAAGGAACAAAAAGTCGAATATTTTTAAATATAATATGTTTAATTAATCAAAGTATGAATAACAATATCCATTGTTTTCTATGCACTTTTGCCATCTCATAGGTAGTTCATTGATCCCTTTACTAAAAAAACAGTCGGACGGGAATCAATAAAATCTGTGAAGGCGATTTGGACTGCCCCATCAGAGTTAAATTTTTTTCCTTTGCAAGAAGTTGTCCAAATTTCGAAAAAAATGGTAATCTGTTGGAGCAAGGTCCGGGGAGTACGGAGGATGTCTTAGACATTCCAATTGAAGCTCTTCTAATTTGGTAGCCGTCTGTTGTGCAGTGTGTGGTCTAGCGTTGTCGTGAAGTAGCAGTGGCGTGGAGCGATTGACCAGCCTAGGTTGTTTAGCCGCTAGCTTTTCCATCATGGTTTGCAATTGCTGACAATAGACATTAGCCGTAATAGTCTGGCCAGATTTGAGAAAACTGCAATGAACAATACCGGCACTAGTCTACCAAACGCTTACAAGTAACTTTTTTGGGGTTAATTTTCGCTTGGGTCAGGATTTGGCTGGCTGGCCAGGATCCAACCATTGCGCTGAGCGCTTCTGATTATCGTAAAGAATCCATTTTTCATCACAGGTAATGATTCGGTTTAAAATACCTTCATTATTGTGCCGGTTCAGTAATGCAACGCAGCAGTCGACGCGCGTTTGCCGGTTTGCTTCAGTCAATTCGTGAGGTACCCATCTTTCAAGCTTTTTAATCTTCCCAATTTGCTTCAAGTGAATTAAAACAGTTTTATCACTAACACCGCAGCCTGCAGCTAACTCGGACGTGGTTTGCGATGCGCTTCCACAATAGCCTTCAATACTTCATTATCAACTTTGGTCTCAGGCCGTCCACAGGGCTTGTTCTGCAGGTCGAAATTTCCAGAACGAAAACGTTGGAACCAAAAACGAACTGTGTTTTCTTTTGCAACATGACCGCCATACACATCATTCACCCTTCGAGTCGTTTCCGCAGCACTAGTGCCACGGCGGAACTCGTACTCGTAAATCATGCGATAATTTAAGTTTTCCATTTTGTAAAATGAGTGACGCAAACAGAAAAAAACAAATGAATGACGGTCATCGAAGCACAAAAACATGAGTAAATAGCTGTACAAATTTGAATTTGGAATTCCTTACCAAAGAGGAAACAAAATGAATACTTATTAAGAGCTTGATATAATCGGAATTGGGTGTATAGTTATAACCCCCAACCAATTTCAGGCGCCGGAAACAGTTATTTAAATAAAAAGACAAAAAAATATACGTAACGAAACCTAATAATAAGTAAGTGATTCACGTTTGACATCAATTATTTGTCAAATTTATTTTGTAATGGCCTAACTTAACCGAGTTTCCAAATCAAATAAAATAAACGCAGAAGCACATTCACGTAAACTTGAAATTAACGGATTTAATTTCTGACTATATTTCTGCGTTTATATATTTAATAGTGATTTCACCTATAATCCAACACGAAATTAGGTTAATTTCAATGTTGATTATTCTATAACTTTAAAATTAAAAAATGAGGAAAATAATCGATAAATAAAAATCTATTATTTTTTATTCATCGATTTTTCATGCTAAAAATACAATCGATTAATTATAAAAACGATTTTTTACCGATTGTCACATCTCTTGTAACTAGAAAAGTAGAAAATGTCGGATTGTTTACAAATTTCAATACATTACACAAAACTTTATAATTTTTTTTAAATACTTAGACGCATTTCCGGCAGCAAAAATCACTTGGAGGAGTTCCAATCAAGGTCCTCCGAGACTCCAGTTGCATAATCAGTATCATCAAATTCGGGCGACGTAATTCTAAATCCAACCCATATATAATATATAAATAAAAATATACTTACATACATTTTTCTCCTTTAAACGATTGGACCATGTTGTTTTTAGAGTTTAAGACTAGATGCCATTCATCATCAACCTTCACTGCCTTCGGTTGGAGAAACTAAACATATAACTCATATATTGTCGCCTGAATAATAATAATATATCTACTATTTAGTTATTTTTTCCTAAAGACTAGTCTTATCTGCATCAATGCCAAGCACAAAATTTTGACTATTGTCTCTGGTATAGGTTACACTATAACAGCCACAGATAGACGTAAATCAAGATGCCCCGTTTTATCCTTTACGAAATATTATGTATAATATAGGAATGATATCTCTAATAAGCTACTTACTAACGATAATGTTATAAATGTAAAAGCCTTAAAAAATTATTAAACTTTGAGAAGTTTAATCTATAGAATATATTTTTATTAATCATCGAAAATCTTAAAGGTGAAATACTTTAATATTTCGTCGATGATTAAGTTAGGACAAAAATAAAATAATCCCTTACAGTTGATTTCGAACGGCACAGATTAATTTCTTGATCGTCTTGTCCGTCAAATATACTTTCACGATCTTGATTGAAATGGATATTATCAGCAATCTAAAACAAAATCTCAATTTATGTTGTTAAAAGAGAACATGAGAATGTAACACAAAAGATGGTGCGTTTTGTTTTATTACTGGAATTACATTGGTCAAGAGCATGGACACGCGAAATACGGACTTCGTTGATGCATTCTCACTACCTAAGAAGATAGAACGTAGTAGTCACATACCTGTAATTGACATATCGTTCTAACTTTGAATTTGCTTTTCTATTCCAAGTTCGCTTTGTAAAACGTTTCACATTTTTTCAATTAAAAGTTAAAGACGTTTTTATTTGTTTATGTTCAATTTAATGACTATACACAGATAGATAGCCTTTTTGCAGGAACATCTTATTGTCATAACGACAGATTTTCGTGTCATCCGACTTGCTTGAATTAATTAAATGGCTGTATTAACTTACCAGTAAATCTATTAATTTTGAAATTTCATCATCCGGAAAATCGGGAATAACCTCACAAAAATCGAGCTTGGCACATTTATCGGGAATCGTGAACTGTAACTGTCTTTCAAAATGTACACTATAGAGTGTACCTTCCGAGTTGGGGATTTTTTTTGTTATGTTTACTTCAAGTCCAAAACTCTGCTTGAAGCTCTGCAAATTAAAGTCTTTTAAATAAATATCCGTTTAAAGCGGATTGAAATGGCCTTTAATCGCATTTTGTACTAAAATCAAGTTCACCCAATATTTAATTTAATAAAAGAAAGGTAGATAAATGCGCTCTTTATACTTGCAGTGTCTGTATTACCCTTTCATCATAATTTTTATCTGGGTAGAAATATTATTAATTGCGATTATTATTTTTTACTATATTATTTAAATTACGATGTATATTTTAAATAAATAAATTAACTTTCAACATTAAATAAATTTTATATTTGATGTCCGAGGTAATAAGACTTAAGAAGATATAATAATATTCCTTGAAAAACCTCAGTAAAAAAAATAAAATATGACTACGTTCTAACTCTTCTTTATTAATATTTCTGCGAGGATTTTAATAACAACCACTAATTAATAATTAACTTACCAGCAACAAAATGACCATTACGTGAATATTAATCATGGCTTGTCCCGATAAATATTTCCTCCTAAATGAAAACTAACAGTATGTTACTATATTAATCAGTATCATTAATTAATTAATTAACTACTTTTATGATTAAATTTGTTTATTAAATGAGGATAAAACGAAACATTCAAAAGGAATTTTGTCATATCGTGATATTTTTCCAAATATGTCTAAAATGTAGCAATAATTATTAGTATGTATAAAGTGATAAACAATTATTTAAAATATACTAAGCAAGCAAAGTGAATTTTTATTTGTATTTGTTTATCATGAGATTTTCACGATCGTCGACGAAACATATTCTTTTTTAATATATTTCGGCTAAGATGATAGATATTATATATGTCACCGTAAAGTTGTAAACACCGTTAGATTGTAATCCTATCTCGCGAGATTATGAACTGTCGAAAGATTGTGAACCTCAACGTACTGCTTACAATTTAACGTATTATTATTCGGTAGATTGTATTTACTGTATTTCATTCCTAACTCTATGGACATAGAACGGTCTACTATAAAGCCGACCAAGCAGGGTCAGCCTTCGGACAGTTAAAAATTTGACAATTTTAAGATTGTAATTTGACAGATTACAATCTAACGGTGTTTACAATTTAACGGTGACATATACAACATTTCCAAAGTCCATCCCTTACTTCAGCTGCCGTAAGATGTTATTAGTCTCAACATATAACCAGTGACATGCGTGGTCTGGAACGTTCGCAACAGTATTAGTAGAAATAACCTAAAAACGACTTCTGCGCATCTAACAACTCTAGCTAATTATTTGCTTTTTTCTTGTTGTTTGGCGAGGCTTTATAGCCAGCGGTAGAACGGAACGGTACTACAAATTACAACGCTATCCAGCCTCTTGCAAGCTTGTTGCAATATGCAAGAGGAACATTATCTTCGACCTATAAAAACATACGCCCGGATTATGTCTCCCCGTTTAGGCTTGTTGAAGTCGGTTAAAATGAACCTCGAAACAGGATTTATTTGTATTAATAAATATGAAGTGAGGGTTTTGTATTCGATTCGTTATAAATATTGGATTAATTATATTGTACTATTTGTGTACTGTGTAAGTCACAGATTAGTTTTTATTTAGTTAGTTTTTTAATTAAACTCAGTAATGCATTTATATAGTTGTCTTTGCTGATTTTATTTCTTGGGTTTAATTATTTTACTTATTGTCCATCACACTGCAATGTCCGTAGTCAGTAGTATAGGTACAGGGTTTGATTCTCGGTAAAACAATGATTGTTTCAGTGTTAAAGGCATGGAATATAAGGCTGTTGATTGCCTTGAAGAATTATTACGAAGACTAGATAGAGGAACAGCCCCATTGGAGGCTACGAAACATTAAATTATGCAATAAAACATAAATTAATGTTTCTTAAAAAAAATATTAATTAATTGTGATTCTTAATTTTTATTTTAGATTTCAGTTTTGTAATTGCATAAGTCTAATTTGTTACTTGTAATTTTATGTTCGTTCATTTAGTTGTTCACTTTACCCTTAATATTAGTTTTTATTTTTCCTTACTATGATTGCCTGGAAGAGATCGCTTGTGAGCGATATGGCCACCCGTTGCGTCCTTAATAATTTATATTATATGATTGTATATATACGTATAATATTAATGCATTGAAGTTTTAATGAATAAAATGTTTTTTTTCTAAATGTTGACTTTTGGTAGTATAGAATTTGACCTCATAGTCTTACCGTTTTATTTAACTCAAACAAATAACTAAGCAATACGACTCAGGTAAAAGTTCTAGTAACTATGCTAAGTGATAATTGGCAAAGGTGGCGAACTTTCAGAGGCTCACTTTCGGTCGCTGCGTAGCGGAGCAGTAAGTGAGAATACGTGATGTAGAAATATTTATTCTAATTTTTTACATCGTGTAGAAAATAAGAGAAATAAATTAAACCTTAATTAAGATAGATAAATAAAAAACGGATTTGACATAAATATTTATTTACATAATTATTGGTCTCAACGCGTTAATAATATTTTAAAAACGCTAACATTAACACAGATGGCAAAATTCGCATATCTACGGTATATGCATATACTTAAAACTGTTAGGTAGTTTAACTTGATTTCATCGAACTAAACCTATCATCGATAAGCTAACCTAATGTAACGATAACTTATTGTAGTAACAGCACTTACTCTGAATATCACCAGAAATCTGTCATCTGACAATTTATTAAACTCTTACTCCACCAAATAAATTCGCATACAAAATGCCGCTTATAGCGACTATGATAGTATATGCTATACATTTCAAACAAATCGATTCTGATAATATATTACTTTTAAATCCAGCGTTGCGATGTTGGTCTATCTATTATTTAATTCCCCCATTACAAAAATATTTTAATCAATCATTTTGCAATTTTAATATTCTCAATATATCCATATAATTCACAAAATTACTTTTTTTAAAAAAAAAAAAAATTGTGGATTCACCTTCTTAAATAGGCGTGAAACTGTAGACAATTTGAGTCTAGAAATAAGTTTGATAATAAATTATTCAAAATAATTAAATATTTTTCTAGTATCTAACTCAAATACACTATCCACAAATTACAACACCACTTATCTACAAACGTCATATCGTAGAAAAGGATACACTTCATAAAGAGAGTACTAAAAAAGAGAATTCAATATTGCAGTTGAATTCGATAGCCTAGCATTCCACCCATCAAATGCCATATTGCTATACAAAACATGTTTGGCATATGGCCGGGACATTACTCAATATTGCATAGTGTGCTGCTATTGTTTGCAATTTGCCGGCACAGTGTTCACCATCAATGCAGCAAAACATGGCCCGTTTAGACGCGCCATTAGGCAAATCGCAGAAATGACGCGTGTTCCTGTCAATATCCGTTCGTATACACTATACATACAAAAGGTATTCACTAGAATTATTAACGAACTAAGAATTCATACTCGCACATAATAATGTTCAAGCGTATAACATGACGTAACAAAAATGGGAGATCCAATCAGCTTCTGTATTTTCCTTATAAAAAGTAATAATTAAATTAAATAAAATTTCATTAACTGATATAAACGCAAATTTATTACATACGGAGACGAAATAAGGCTTAACAAACTGAAAAGCACTCAAAGAGGTAAGATTTGTATTATTGTTTGTAACGAATAGGAAATAGGCTATATTTACATTAATAGTAAAAAAAATAATGTCCGGACTTCACAATGCGGGACAATTATTATAAGAACCATCTCCGGGCCCCTAATTAATTCGCGTTTATTCGTTAATGATGTAACTTAACAGCATAGTACTCGGCTATACCAAAGACAATATCAAAAAAGAAAGTTATTCATTTATCAAACCGCCTTAGCGACACACGAGCAACAACTGGGAACTTGGAACGGTCTCTCAATGATTTCATTTTTGTCGTTCAGCGCAATCATGTTACGTAGAACATATTTCTGTACGCATGACCCTCTGTAGCCCTTCTGGAAGAAAGCTATAGAAGAGCAGGTGGCGTTTTCTCCTCCTCTGTAAATATATTATACATAAATTAACATTTTATAAAGGAAAATATCTTACGAACAGATCTTCGGACAAATTCACTACTTAAACACAAATATTTGTTTGTATCGAACCCATTGTGTAACCCACACACAATTTTAGCCACCCAAAGGGAAGTTTCTCGAACGTAAAATGTACTGTATGAATATAGTTTTTCTTTGGTAATATATAAAATAAGATTTGATTTATAGAAAATTATTATTACCTGCATATTTCTACTCGAAACGTTTGTCGCGGTTTTTGCTTGTCGTTAACTATCAGGAACCAGTCCTTGTTGATATCTTGAGCCACTTTGGGTACAAATATCTGAAATAGATTATTTTTTATTATTTACTTAAATATATCAATTAAATATTTAATAGTACAAAATTAAGACTACTATATACTACTGTATCTGTTTTGAACTAATTTTTATGTTTATATGACAAGCAATTGAATGTGAATCGCAAGCTGAAGTCACTATTGCTGCAGTGCTATTGTTTTAAGCCTCACCAATTCAAATCTATGGAAAATATGCCAAGTACGATTGTATAATCATACGGAACATATATCACGATACGATTGCAGTGCCTACGTTACGTTTCCAGCCTTTTGTATATTTCCATGCTAGTGAAAGTTGCATTTATATTTATGGTCGCTTTATATTATTGATTCACACACGCAGGCGAGTTTAAGGTTTCACTTCAGCGTAAGGACAAATGATAATTGAGTTTGCCGAAATAAGCTCAGTTTATTTGATAATACATATCCTTGTTGGCCAATAAAAAGCGGTATCGGAAAACAGGTTAATCCAATTTTGATAATTCGAAAGTAGTATTTCAACTAATTATTGAATTTACAAATACATGAGTATTTTAAATAAAGCTCTTTTGAAAATGTATTAGTTTTTAAATGTGTATAAATAAAACATATATAAAAATATATAACGTACGTATATAAACGTATGTTGAAATTGTTGTGGTGCAGTAAATTATGTAGAGTCTTATAGAGTATATTATCACGAGAATAAATTAAGTGATATCGCACGACTATACGGACGATATTATTTCCGCTTTGAATAATTTTTAATTTTGCGAAAAGAATCAATGTCTATAAAAACATAGAGGCCATGAAACACGAAAACAACAGGTACTAACATAAGGGAGAAAAGTATTTCCTAATTATATTTATGTTTCAATAATGGAAATACCCTGTACCGTTGTTTTCTAATATCTAAAGTAATAGTCGTCATCGCTTCGAGTTGTATATTCTATAGAAAACAATGCTACTGCAAAATGCATTTTGGGTTAAATCTCGTAGACTACTAAGGATATTATAATTTTTTTTTAAAGACAATTCACACCAATTGACCTAGTCCCATGCTAAGCTGGTGAAGCTTGTGTTATGGGTACTAGGCAACGGATATACATACATATTATTATAGATAGAAGATAAATAATATTTAAACACCCAAGACCTAACACACCCAAATGCTCATCACATCGATGTTCGTCTCAGCCGGGGATCCAACCCGGGACCCATGGATTCGCAGTCAGGGGTTACTAACCACTAGACCAATGGGTCGTCAAAATATTATAAAAAATAATAAAATGAAATATTGTTCTTTATTTAAATGTTAAAGTAAAGCGCGTGCTTACCCTTTCCATAGAGGAACATAGATCTATAGTTTCTTCTTCCGGTCCTATTCTCTCAGCGAGTTGAGGCGGCTCCAGTACATCTTTGTTAAACTTTAATTTGTTTTCACTTTCAATCTGTAAATAAATAATTGGAATTACTTTTATTTACCACCAATTTGTATTTTAAATATACACGTTCCTACATATTTTAATATTGGTTGATTTACGCGAATCTCGGTGATCACTGCTGCGAAGCACTTAAGGACCTATCCTGTCGCCAAACTCCAAAAAAGTACATTGTTTCTTTCCATTTTTCGTCATCGTTTCTAGAGGGCGAATGGAAAAAATATATGGTGGAGTTTATGTATCCATTTTGAAAGATCGATACACGATTTAAATAGCTTCGCTCGATGGAAAAAGAATCCAAACATAGCCAATTTTTCACACTTTGAATTCATTTTATGACGAAAATGTGTATAGAACATGATTTTGAAATTTACACGATATATTTTATCGCAAGCCAAGTAATCCATTTCAGAAAAAAAATGATAAAATTACATTAATTTAATGTTTTACATAACTAATTGTTATCACGGGCCAGCTTTCCACTGCGCACCGCAGTCCACACCGAAACACTGACACAGCAATTCGTGCTGGGATAGGGGCCTTAAGAGATCGATTGTGTAAAAATTATTCCCTATTATATCCCTTTAAGATTTTATATTTATTATTTGTGGATCTCGTTTAGTAATTCTCGGGTCACATCTACGTGGCGACATACATCCAACAAGCAGAGGTTTTTTAGAGACTTACAATGTGATATGTCTAGTTGACACTACCACCCTCAGCCCATGACTGCACTATGTTGACACAGCGAACGGCCGATTTAGTTATTATGGCAGAAATATAGAAAAAAAAAGTCTAGTCAGGCTCACGCACTACGGTGCAATCATAATTGAATAATAAAAAGAACGTTACCTGTTGAATTGCACTTGAAATTATATCCGCCGGATAGTTTGGAATATCTTCACAAATGCCCAGAGTTTTACAATCATCGGAGATTTGAGAGAATATGTCTATCCCAGACCTTGATGTTAAATCTGGGAAAACAATACTGCTGTCCATTACTGAAATATTAAATAACTAATATATAACTGGAAATAAATAGCACGCTGATTTATAGTACAACACTCTAGGGCGCCTAAACAGTCTTAACAAAAGTATTTAAATGGAAAATCTTCAGTGATATGAAGTTTGTTGTGTAAACAAATATAAGTTAAAATATTTACAGTAACAATGAACAAGACAGAAACTAGCTTCGCCCACGACCTCAGAGTTGAAAGTCGATCGTGACTCATAGAATATTTTTATCTGCAAAACAAAATGTTCAAAGTCTTCAACTGTTAAAGTTTACTTGAAAATATTGTCTTGTGCAAGCTCTAATTATCCTCTGACGCAATTGATATCATTCATTGTTATCGGTTATCAATGTTATTCTAAGCCTTCGATGCCTTCTTCCACATATGGCGGAGCGGAAGCGCTAAGCGTTATAATGAATTGATATTATAACTGACCTACGTTATCTACGTATATAGTAGCTTAATCTGAATGTTCATAAAAAGTGTGTGATGCTCTAAACTGTGACCCAATTTGTATGTGCGTAATAAACGCTTGCTTGTACCGAAGGAAAACAGGTAACTGGTAGGTATGTCTAAGATTCTAAAGTTTACGTGTGTTAGGCACAGTTAAATTAAAAGGCGATGAATGTGATTAGCAAAGGTTTTATCGATTTTATCTTACAGCTTATCACCTAATTATAAACGATCAGTTAGACAGATGTTCTATGAGAACAGTTGTATGTTAGGAAGCAAAATATAAATGAGAAAAGATAAAATAACTGCACAGAATACAGAGATAAATTGCGCAGATGCAATTTTATTTAACTTATATTTAAGTACCATTCGATCCTATTTATTACTCTTGGTATGCAGGCTGCACGCGAAACAACCAGTTTTTTTGGCACAAGAAACTTGTAAAATGTGTTTTCATACATTCGTAGTATTATTAGTTTACATACCTCGCCTATTAATGAATGGCTTCACAAATCTGTTTAGAATTTTGTATGAACCATCTGAGGGGATGTTTGGTGATTTGCCTGTCCGCCAATCGGTTTCTTCAGCTTTATAGCTTGTCATCTGTAAGTAGATTTCCAAACATAATATAAATAACATTTATTAATTACCATATACGTATGTTATTTATTTTCACTATATTTGTTGTCTTTATCTGAACCCATTTATATCGCGTACTTTCGCTTTTAGGCCTTCTCCATCCGATACACCTTCTCGACATTTAATACGAAACACTTAATTTAGATACATAATAGGAGTATTCATTAATTCTAATGAATCAATAATTATTTAAAGAATCTTCTTAAAAATTAATCTTGATACACAGTGAGAATGATTTCTTTCTAGTTAAGTACCTACTCTACACCACGGAATAGAATAAATAATATAAGTTAAAACTTCAACGTTATAAACGCTTACCACGAATGCACTAAACCAAGACACGAGATCGATTTGTCTGCCTTAAGATTACGAAAGAAGTCATACGTCAGTATGAAAAACCAATAATGTAAAAACTTCCCCGCTTTATATAAGCATCGTATATGTTACAGAAGTTTTGTTTTAATATTTAGTATAATAAATTAGTTGAGATAAAATAAAAAAATAAGCTTTATCCTTACATGATTAAAAAATGAAGCCTTATTGCTTCTGAAATAAGAGGAACATACAATAGCGTAATGTCTTTTGCAAAAGAAAATTTTATATTGTTATTGTTTTACTTAAATTTCAATTACTTACTACATATAATCTTTTCCTCAATTTATCTTAAAGATACATATCAGAATGAGCCTAGTAGAATAAAATTAGGACGGCTGATGGCGACGTTTGTATGTATTAAGTTTCTCATGTAAATAAAAATACATTTTTTGTAATGAGAAATAAAGTTCTTTAAACATTAAAGTAACAATCACTGGGATAAAAAAGCCAAATAGTTGACAAGTTGTACGAGTACGTAGCAATCCTTAGTATTTCAATCGAATCCAAATTGATTTTATATCCTTCAAAATTTATTAAGCCAAAAAAGTATTTGTATTTTTTAAATATATGTTAGATTGCGTTTTAAACCATAAGTTAACATATGCAATTATATGTAAATGTCGCACTTATTGTACGTACATTTCCAGGTCTCCTACGTTTAATATAGATAGATAACATACGACAGCTATTATTATTGAAGTAATATGTAAAATAAAACCCCCAAAATCTCATACCACTTAAGACATCACACATTTGTGTAGAAGAACAATTTCAATGTGTCCTTGAATACTTTTCTTTACTTTTGTTTACTATACTTATTATTTGTGTTTTACAAGTATAGCTGTTTGTGTAGCAAATAAAAAAAATGTATGTATCATAAAGTTTAGTTTAGACTTTTATATCGACGAATTTATTTATTTTATTCGAATAGTTGAAAGGTTTAAAAAATGAAACTAATTCGTGATAATGTTTTGTATTAAATGTAACTTAGTTAGGTATTGTGTATATACTTTAGGAAACTTATTTCGCAAGAGTTTGAAACTTTATTTGAGTATAGTAGTTTGTTTAATCTAAGTACGTGGTCTTAACATATAATTATCAAATAAATATTTACAAACTATTTTAAAAGAGTAAGTATGGAGTTTTGGAAGGGGCACTAGTCATGTTTTTTTTAAATATTTTTGATTTATAATTTTGACTTTCAAAAATTGCCTTTTTAATAAGCCTAATTGAAATAAATGATTTCCTAACATACAATCATCTCATAGAAAATCTGTCTTACTGATCGATAAAAAGATAATTCAAGAATTGAACCAAGTAATGCTATACGAATAACTGTATAGTATGTATTTTTTTATCGCAGTTTATTTGGATACGGATAATTTATTCACGATGCATTATGTATATCGAAAGAAAGTGGACGTCACTCTTACTTTTGAAGCACGATAGCAAATCGTATTAATGAATTTAGACCTACAACATCTATTAATAATCTTCTGTATTAAATTAAAATATTGAAAATCCTCTATTTAACTAGGCATTATTATTTTTATTTTTTTATAAGTACGAAGGATTTGAACAAAATATATAACATATATTTATGACATGTCATGTATACCTACCATTGAAATTATAAATGAAACTGCGAAATTCAAATGTCTAACGCAGGTTCTGCGATGCTGAATAAATTTGAAGAAGTCAATATTGAAGATTTTTAGGAAAGTAAGGCATAAGAGGTCTTCAACTCTATGGTTTTATGCGTTTGATCATTTAAAGGTTCTTAAATCTAGGAGTTGACATGCCCACGGCGAGTAAAACTCTAAACAATAATTGTTTTGCCGGCATTCGAACCTTGAGCCTTATACGCAATATGCGTCGACTACTATAGCGGCAACATTCCAATTTTATTTCACTTAAATAAATTGAAATATTATTTAATTATAACTAAAATATAAAAAAAATAATTAAATATGCATTTGATCACCTAATAGCGATGACATTTAATTAACTATTTATATCAAATAGACTTTGTAGCTCGCAGTTATAAAAACTCGTTTTTCGTTTACCTAACATTAAACGTATTCTTGCCATTTAGTGTGAATTCACTAGAACCTTGATAAGATCTTAGTAATATACATTATTTACAAACCAGAGAAAACCAAAAAATGTATTTCCAGGCCATAACTAGGTCGATATGAGTATCATCCGATAATGCACTTTAACTTATCCATATTAAATAAATTATACACTGCGGAAATGTACACACATTCACCTGGTACAGCGCTCAAATGACAACTGGCCGGTCGGAGGAGTTGACCAGCAATTACATGCGTGACGACCACTTTACGATGACCTCTACGTTGTTCAGGTTTTATTTGTTTACGTATTTGTATGTACTCGCCAAAGATCTTGTCTAAATGGTTACCAATATTTGTTATTTTCATGTTTTGTATTGTCAAGTTTAACGGCATGACGAGGCCGCACGAAGGCAAGTGCTATCAATTATAGGTGAACTAATTAGATACCTCAAATTATTATTAATGAAAGGTGTGATAAACTAACGATTTAATTTAGATAGATAATTAATAAGTTGAATGTAGTCAATACTTATATTTCTTTGTTTAAATGTTGATTGTCTTTCGGTAAGTCCCATGTACCATAAAAATCATGCGCATATGTATTTAATATTCTATGGAGTACCTTAAATTGACGTAAATGGACTTGGCTATAGTATTATGAATTTTCCTGTTCTCACGTGCTAATAAACTGACAATAAATTTATTCAGCAGTGTTGGCCTAGTGGCTTCAGCGTGCGACTCTCATCCCTGAGGTCGTAGGTTCGATTCCCGGCTGTGTACCATTGGACTCTATTTCTATGTGCGCATTTCATATTCGCTCGAACAGTGAAGGAAAACATCATGAGGAAACCGGCTTGCCTTAGACCCAAAAAGTTGACGGCGTGTATAAGGCACAGAAGGCTGATCATCTACTTGCCTATTAGACGAATGATCATTAAACAGATACAGAAATCTGAGGCCCTGACCTAAAAAGATTGTAGCGCCACTGATTTATTTTATTTTTTAAATTCTTTTCATATGTGTGAGTTTAGACTAATCTGTCGTTGGTATGTCAAAATAATTTTCTAGAAGTAAGAACAAAATGTTGTATTGTATTTTAAAGTAATATTCTAATGCAATCTATGTATAAATAAATGGTATTGATTTATGCTTTTACTCGTTCATATGTATGGTTTTCCTACAAAAACTTTTTCGTACAAGTAGTTTTCACTATAGTCCCTATTATGTCATTATAAACTGAACCAATTGGCTTAGATATTAAGTATAATTTGTCTATGACTAATTAAAATAAATGACAGTTGAAGAAATCTTATGATTTATCAGAACTTAAAACATGGGACTATTTTCAAACCTCCACAGTTTAAGCTTTCATCACGGATCATTTTCAAGTTAGCTTTGAATGTGTTTCAACCCTTTTGAGATTACATTTATTTTTACAAGTGAAACCTCAGTCTATTGTTTGCCAAATTGTTGATGCAAGTGTCTAGATGGTCATGTTTTACATTATGTATAGAATGTATACGGATACAAACCTTGCACTGCAGTAATATCATTCAGCGAACCTATAAGGAAACGAAATTTCCGATGACGTGTATCAGGTTACAGATAAAATATTTTGACCATTAATTAGCTTTAGCATTTTGCGGTAATGTAGAACGTACGTCATAGGTTTCAAATTTATGAATATTTTTGCATGCGGCTCGGAAGGTCCGAAAATTCTCTTTTCAAAATATTACAATAAAAATAATAGAGATAAATCCTAAACTGAATGTCGTGAGTCTAGAATAATTTATGTAGAAATTGTCGTTAATTTCTAAGAGAATATACTTCATATATATAACAAATTCAAACTAGAAATAGAGAAAATGGTAAGGGTGCAGTAGAGTTTTAAGAATAAAGATGCGTATTTTAATAGGAAAATGTTGAAAATCAGCGTAATAAAAGCCCAACTAAATCCGTTAGGCTTCAGCCTTAAGAGAAAGTGTGCGAAATCAGTATTTAATTAGTTGAAACTTGTTTGGCTCTCTCCACTCACCTCCGCGTTGATTCACCATGCAATGTCGTGAACTCGTGATGCTAAGCGTATTAATTATCCTATAATATCTTCCTAGAACTAATTTTTCATTTGTCTACTGCGCAAAATCGCATTAATAAAAGCTATATAGTGATTTATGACTCTCGTTCATATCGTTCTTATGTTTCATCGATTTTCTCACTATCATCAACGACCTCACATAAATCTACATTTTGTTCAACGCTTTCTACAAGTAATTTAACAATTATTGTAATTTAGTTGAACCTTGGAGAACAAGGGTCTGCAAAATCCACTTAGGAATCTCTGTTCAAAAAACCCGATATTGATGCGATAAAAATACTTCCTACCACTATTGTTCGCAATTAGGACTTTACGCTCACCGAGCACAACTGAATATTAAAATATAGTTTTTTTCCATTACTTCGTTGGATTTTCCTGTCGTTTTCATTGTTTTTATACGCAGAAAAAAGTTATTTGTGCATATTTGATCATTGTTACCCTTTAGATTCAGAATCGTACCTGGGGCATGTGTCGCGACAAGCCCGCTACGACCTCCTTCTATTAATTATAAAGGGTAAAATCCAGTAATCGGCGTGTTGGTACCGGCGTAAACGATAGTAGAAAAAATCATGTCTTCGTAACGGGCCGACCGAAGCCATTGTACGGGTATTGCGACGCGGAAGAGTTGCTGTATCTTCAATAGGACAAGACATTAGTAATGGAGGAGAAGGAGATTCAGATACGAAACTCCCTGTTAAATTGGAATTGACCTATAGGAATGTGTCGGACTGTCTTCGCTATGAATGACTATCGTGTATAAATTGTTTAATATTTAATAGGTTTTTGTTTGACATTGAAGTCATATTCATGCATCAGAGGGATTCAAGCTGTGATTTGGGCAAGAGGAGGTCACATTCGTTATTAGGTTTTAACATTTATAATTTAATTAAAAAAGTAAAAAATCTTCCTTTCTTTATTTTCCGATCACTTCTTATTGTTTGGCCGTGTACGTAAGGTTTTAAATAATTCATTAAAAAATTGCCAGAATTTACTTCGCACGCATTCATTTTACACGATTATAAGTATACAGACTACATCAGACATTTTATTAACTGAAATCGACCTTAGAGCGTATATTTCCTTAGGGGGCGCAATTTTGTGTTTATAAATTTACCCGTAGTGCGACCAAATAATAATTATAGAATATACTATTGTCAGAATAAACAATAGTAGTAACAAGGAGATTATAGAAGAGAATAATCAGTGAACAAGTCAGGCACAGAAGGTTTATAATTCGTATCCGAGACATGGTTGCCTAATTTAAAAAAAAACACAAAAACCTTTTAGATCTCTGTATCTGTTTCGTGATTTGTTTACCTAATGAGGGGTGACACATAATGTTTCAATTCGTTGAATTCCTATCAAAACGTTAAAACATTATATATATATATCAATAAGTTTACTTCTCATTGAATAGCTCACATGAACCACATTTCTGACGTAATTTTTGATTAAATAGGCAAAATGGTTGATTCATAATATTAATACCGATTTAATTATTATCATTGCGGTTACTGGTCATGCGCAAGTATTTCTCAGAAGACTTATTGTTTTCTCTTTAAGACGTCAAATGTCCAGCGTCTGGCTGGAAATAAACTAATTGAAATGTACATAAATGAATTGCTGTTTACTTAAACTGTCGTCGAGAGTGGGCGGAAAGATAGAAAGAAGCTGAAACGGGCAATGCTTTATACCGGTCATAAAAACAGCATATAAAATAATTAAAACTAGAAGATCTACCAAGAATGGTCCAAATAATGACGGCCTTTTTGCACAATACCTAGATCGATTACTCCGGGCCAGTGCAAAATGCTACTGCAATAATATCGCTGCACATGCTGTTGGACTGTCCGGCATATCGGGCATCCAGGTACGAACTTCAGCAGAAAACAAACGAGGCTCTGACAAAAGATTCATTGCCACAGTTAATGAAACACCCCGAACACAGGATGTACCTACCTGGAGAATCTTTGCGGAAATAGTTCAGAAACTTCGAATTGAAAAATAAAAATGCAACAGTTTTGCAGCCTGCGGTGACTCCAGGTGGTTCGGCATCCCATGTACGTAATATAACCCCACAAGATTGAAGAACATAATCATATAATAAAAAAAGTCTCTTCCATGTTAAGGAAGACGTTAAATAAATAAAATAAAAACATGCCATTTAGGTAATAAAATACTAGAAAAGGTGCCATTTTTTATCCAGCTTTATTGAAATCCATAACCAAGAACATACATGGTGAACTTTTGATGTTATATTATTACGAAATAATTAGATGCTGTTGTAGTTACATAACATCTTTTCTGCCCATAAATAGAATATTTTGCGAAAGGTTTTTAACGTGAAAAATAAAATAAAATAGCCATTCGATTAATAACGAAACACTTATGAACACCCAATGGGCGTGTTTTGTTACTTTTTTGCATATCGTCTACATTTTAGGTAATTGTCTCATCTCAAAACATGGCTACTAGGATAACTTAGATCTAAAATAAATAAATAATCAGTTTTTAATATTTATTGTAAAAAATTTTGACTAGTTTTAATTTACCAACGTAAATCGAACCTTATAATTAAGAACTTTTAAACACATTAACCAAACGTCTTATGTAACTGCGTGGGTGCGCATAATCAGCTAGGTGATTACGTCATTTTAACAGCTATTATAACAATAAATCCGCGAATATATAATTTTAAACCATATTTTATGTTTTTATTTTTCAACTACAAAAATACAAAAACATGTGTGTACTTACACGCGTTAGAAGTTATACTTCTTTGGCGTAACAAGATAAAAATCTTTAAAAAAAATTTATTCTACGTTTGTAGAAAAAAACGACACTAACAATAGAAAAAACTAAAATGTTGACTATAGCTAACTTTAGGGTGTCGGTTTTGTGACGGTGTGCGGGTGTCGGTTTTTTTAAGACGGTGAGCGCGCGCATCGTAAAAATTTACTCTCATCATTTTTCCCTAACGCACCAAAAGAAGTATAACTTCAAAAGTCTTAAGTTTAGTTAATTTAAAATAATCTTTAAAATAATGTACCTACACGTTTAATACTTTTAATTATTAATACTACACTTTTGGCTATTCTAAAGCCATATTTGATGGAATATACAGTAGTATAGTTTGCTATTGGTATTTTGCGACAGGTTTGACCCGTTAGTATGAATCATATAATAGTAATGACTATACAGAATTCCATTTAACGATTACGATGGTTTTTGTAGGGAATATTTAAGAAGCGCATCGTGGGCGTATTTGGAACCGCATACAGGACGTTCACTTTTAATTACTCTAAACTTTACAAATTGTATGAAAGCTGCTGTCTGCAAGCTGCAAGCTGTCAAAAACTAACATTATCGTATCGATGTTCATTTGTTTTGTATGGCAAATACATTAGTCCACACTTGGTCACGTGGTATTCCCATACTAATTCGATTAACTACTGTGCAGAAAGAACGTGGAAGTTATGGGGACTAGGACTAAGCTAGCGGTCATTTATTCACAAAAATTATATAGTTTCATTATTTTATAATTATCATGATCATTATCGAACTATAATGATGCAACAGTGTTGTCAACATAAACAAAGCAATTTAGCAATCCCAATGCCAATCCAAAGAGACCCGCTCTTTCCGCACAGATTCGAAAACGCAAAGTGTTTATTATCTATGATACTTTTGCCTTTACAGGTTACACCAGCTGCTTCGATTTATAATGACAAGAGCAGCACACTGGCAACTCTGCCTCAATCTCCTCTGGTGCATGTCCCGGTTTTTCCACCAACACCTTCCAAACATTGTACTTTTGAAAGCAAAAGGTTGAGTAGGAGTCCTGTAATTCCTCTAGATGACTGAAACATGTCGCTTCCGTTTTTCTAAAACAATTGAAGGTATGACTCAAAAGAACCTTAATCCGTCGTTAAATAATCATTTGGTTTAACTAGAACTTGGTACAATTACGATGAGTATGATTTTTTGTCAATTTTGGTTTAAAAGGTTAAAATATTAAATATTCTAAATGTGGCAATGACAATGGTAAGAAAGAGGAGATGGATGAAAAGACAAGATGGAGAGTGAGAGAGGTGGAGATGGATTTGGTTTGAAGTACAGATTAATTGTAAGTTGCGGCAGAGTCCGTGGACTCTATAAAGTGTTAGATGAGTTCTAGGAATTCTGGTGGCATAATTCGTCGGCATTTTCACATTTTCTTTATATTATTATTAACATGTCTCAAATACGATATCTAGTTTTTTTAACAAAAACTTTAAAAACAAGTATCTTAAATTTCAAAGAAATATTAACTTACTGGCAAGTCTCCAAGCGAACACTCTGTATATAGTCGTGTTCAGACGCTTGTATTACATTGCGCCATTCATTCCCACGCTTTTCACGCACCTTATACAGGGGATCATACTGAAACAATTAAGGAAATAGATTTAATAAAAATTTTATAGGATCTTAGGAAATATTCGTTCGTTTCGCCTTTGTGGAATTGCTAGGTCATTTAGAGTCCTGCAATTTACTTCTGACGTTTACACGTTTTAATATTACTATTAAAACTGTTCATTACAGGAGCATATGTTAATTTGCGATCTAAACGAATATTTAATACTCCCTCTCGGACTAGCAAAACAGCTGGGGCGGCCGCAGATCAGGCGAAAAATTATAAATGGCTTAAATATAAGAGTCCTTTGGAGTAGAGACTCTTGGACCGTGGGGTTTAAGTGCATTTGGAAGATTTAAGTGAAGGCGCCTGGTAAATAGTACCGGTGACGCCAGAGCTGGTGCTTTCCTCGCTCAACGAATAAGTATCGCAATACAGCGAGAAAATGCTGCCAGCGTTAAAGGTACACTGACACGGGGTCCAAACTTTTTATATTTGTTTTAATTTTCTTTTTATTAATTTTTAATTATTTTTATTATTATGTAGGTTAAGAAAATTGTAAATACTGAATATTTGATTGTTATGATTTGTACGACTAATAGAAATTTTAGCTTAAATTAGTAAAAAAAACATAATAACGAAACCAATAAGAAAACGAAAATAGGACACTTAAAGGATCTACTTGTATAATATGGTGAAACAAAACTTCCTAAACGGCTATAAAGCGAATTTTTTAAAGTAATAATATCGAATAACGACGTTTGAGTGAATAATTATTAGCTAGACTACCTGCTACTTATTTTGGATAAAAATTACAATGAAAAAAATTATAAATAATTAAACTTTGACGCGTGATTATTAATTTAGTGACTCGTTAAATGTTAAAGGTATTTTCTGATTTCCTTAACGAAGTCTTTTAATTGTCCGGTTATGCCTATATAACTAAGGTATACCTATGATATAGTTGATGTAGAAAACAAGTTTGCGACCTTGTCATTAACATTTCCGCGTTGTGCATTAAATTAAAATTAATTTAAGTTTCATAACATTTAAATCCGCGGAAGATAATGCAGTGACCCCAATTTAATTTATGTATCGTAATTAGTAATTTGTCATTCAAATACATAAATATATTTATGTTTGTATGTATATATATTTTTGTATATAAAAAATACAATAATAATAAAAATAGATATGAATTTCTCCAAGATACTATATTTAATACTTACTGTTTTTATCTGAGTTAATTTAAGGCTCTGCTGATACCGCAGCCCGCCTAAGGCGATTGTCGGTGGCGCCTTGGGGTTTTAGTGGGTATGCACAAAGGCGAAACCCTCTCGCAATAAGCAGTTGCGCCGCGGAAAGGTATGCGCAATGCATATGAAACTACGCGTTTTTCTACCATTATTTGCTGTCGAGCTGTTCTAAACTATAATATTTATTTAGATATTCATTGAAATCACATAATTCATCTACAACGATTTGTATGTGTTTTATACAAACAGCTTCGGAAATATCTTAGAAGTAATTAAAAAAAAAAATTAAATAATTTAGAATAAATTTACGATAAAAAAGCTCTACTATTGATAAACAAGCACCTGCGGACTTTTTTAGAACTTTTAAATTTTAAGTAACTCATAAACATAGTATAATTTTTCATGATTTCGCAATATAGGGAAGAAGAATTTCTTCATCGGGCCAACGTTCCCTTTATTCCAAACAAAACAAACATTCTTTAGCCTTATAATATAAGCGATTAGATATAGATTGATTTACTTACAGATATTTTCGTTTCGCAATCGTCATCAAATTCTCCTCGAGTATTAATACTAACCGGTGATAACACTAGCTTTGGTTGTGGGGCGGGTTTCTGAAAATGATTAGTAATACTTTTAGTAATTATTTTATTGGTATTAATCTGTAGAATGGTTTTACGATTCAATTTATTATGTGAGAAATGTGTTTAATAATAAACTCTTGAACAAATTAAATGTATAACCTTTTGTTTTACATATAATGTTCACACATTGTATGAATGAACATAGCACGTTTAATATATATTTTTTTAATTAAAGTAAAATATATGTTGCATTCGATACATAATAAAATCTCTCTAAAAACTTTTTGTGCTTAGTTTTTAGTTTGTTTATACTTAAATTGAGAGCTAGTTATATTTAATTTTCTTAACCTATAAAGGAATAATAAAAATAATTAAAGAAGAAAGAGAAAATCAAAACAAATTTAAAAAGTTTGGTCCTTGGCGTGTACCTTTAACCTGGCAGCATTTCCTCGCTGTATTGCGAGATTATTCTTTGAGCCAGGAAAGTGCCAGCTCTGTGGTCACCGGTACTATCTACCAGGCGCCAACTTAAATCTTTAATAAGCGCCTGTGCACTTGAACCCCACGGCCCAAAGTCTCTACTCCAAAGGAACAAAATTGAAGTTGGAGGAAAGACTCTTAAATTTAGAGCTAGTTATATTTAATTCGGTTTTCATATTTATGCACTTGAAGCTATATTCTGACATCATGATAAAGTATTTCTGATGGAAAGTTAACTTAGAAACAGCGACATGCAAATAATCTTGTCTCGGTTCCAGAACTTTCACGTACTGTCAATAAATTTTCACAATCTTAGAAAGTTTTATATTATTTAAAATGTTTTCTAACTTCATAAAATCTGTTTTGTTTTAATAAAGTTTAAAACAAAATAGATTTAAATTTGTTATTTCCAAAAAATAATAATCCTACAAGACAGGTCACAAGTTTTTGTTAAACTGTATTTTACTAAATACTGATGAACTATTATTACTATTTCTATTATCATTGATTTTTAAATGAGTCCGATAGTAGAAATTGTTTTACTTACATAAAATTTGAACATCTCATTGAACTCCTTAAATGGATAATTTTTCGGTGGTATCGTGCAATAGGTGAGATTTCTGCATGGTTCTGGTACATCATCATCATGGTGTTCCGGAAACTTTATAGCGTTTAACTTAGCCATATCTGAAAACACTGAGGTATGACAAAGAGGCCAACTGCAATAACTTCAATGCAACTTGTAGCAGTCAAAACTCTTATTATCAAGAATTATTGCTGTTATATGAACAGGACAAAAATATTTGAATTTTTAAAGATGATTTTTTTTTTTAAAGACAATTCACACCAATTGACCTAGTCCCATGCTAACGATTCTATTATTATAGTTGCTAATGCTCGTAGAAATCCGGGGTTTGAACTTACAACCTCAAGGTGAGTCCCTGGCGTGCCAACTAAGCAACATCAGGACCAATTGCCTTGAGCGAAGCTTTGATACAGTAGTTGATTACAGAGGACGAAGAAGAAGCGAAACACAGGTTGTTACGCTTCTTCTTCAATCTATAAAAGCTTTCCTTCCTACTCAAAAGTAAACAAGTCGATTCTAAGGCTATTATGCTTAACAAAATTAATAAATTCTTCATTTTAAAATATTAGTATAGATAACTACTTACTGCTAGGTGAGGCATTAATAATAGCGCAACCAGTCGCAATCTGAAAAATATATAAAATCTTTATATACTAATTATGTACCTATATTGTATTGTTGTCTCTACGTAATTATATACGAAGAAGAGCACGTCATCGAGTAAAAAAATCTGCAACATGTGCGAACCATATTTTTTAGTACTCAAGAGTGCAATCATACATTTTTATACTCATACTGTTGTTATAATTTTCGTATTTTGTTTGAATGATTGCTTTGAATTTTTGAATTGTCTCTAATAAGTCTAGTTAACCAATTGACCTTTTATTAAGAGTTATTGGTTACTGTAGCCATTACTAAAATTATTATTCGAAGCTACGTATAGAATGTCGTACTTGAGTCATAAATTGAATTTATTAACTGAATTCTTATTTATCTATTAACAAACAAATACATCATATTAAAAGAAAAAAAATAAGAAATTAAATATAAAGTTACAGTATGTATCCTAACACAGTTTCACAGAAAAATAATAATTATATAACAACATCTTTATATATATGTCGATAATATTAATCTATCATTAGATGTAATTGAATGGACGATTGAATACGGCCGTTAGAGGTTAGACAAAGTTGCCGTCGAAATATATAATATATTTAAAAAATGGTAGCAAAAGTTGATATATTGTAAAGAAAGGTAATTCCTGGTTTGGTGAGCAAAACAAAAGGAAAGAATATATTTTTATGCACGGCATTAAATAAATTTTGTATTATGTATCTGCAGATGTTACGAATAATACCAGAAACATTTTATCAATAAATCACATCGTGTCGTCTTATTTAAAGCAGTGAACGATTTTTCAAAACAGCGGAAATTACAAAGCAACGATAAAATGCCGGTTCATGGACGAAATATCAGTCGCACGATACACAATACACTCGTTAAAATAAAACTTACCAAAATAAGACAGAGCTGCATTGTTGTAAATATTTACACTAAACGCCGGTCAGCTTTTAGTTTTACGTAAACGAGAACACGCGACGAAGTCTGACTGCTAACTGAATCGGTAAAACGTGATAGATAATTATATTGCTGGAGAGTATCTTGAGTGTTGGATAAATTAATGCGCCATTGAACAGCAAAACAGCTGTGGCTTAAAAAAAACCTGTAGGTACTTATGTACACGCGTTAGAAGTCATACTTCTTTGGCGTAATAATTTTCTTAAAGCACTTTAGAGGGACGTTTCCCTTTTCGAATTGCATTTTTATTGTCCATTTTAATGGTCACTTCCAATCGAAACGATATAATAAATACTAATCATGATATTTTACAATAAACACTTTATTTTTTATCACATTAGAACGGGTTTTCTCGTATAGAAATCTTTATTTTGGTTTAAATAAACACGACTCTGAAAAACTCTACGCCAAGACAGACAATACAACTTGTCGATAAAACAGAGCAAGCGCCAACTAGTGGCCCAGACTGTTTTACCGACGTTTGAATAGATATTCAGGGTGTCGGATTTTTGTGACGGTATGCGGGTGTCGGTTTTTTGAGACCATGCGCGCGCGTATCGTTAAAATTTACTCTCATCATTTTTCCCTAACGCGCCAAAAGAAGTATAACTTCAAAAACTTCTTAGGATTTATAGACGAGTAGAAATAAGAAAGCCTTAATCATTTGACTTATTATCTGAGTAATGAATGTAATACAACTTCTTCATATTACATTTATTACATTCTGCATGTTTTTTTAAATCAGTGAGCGTGACCAATGACTGATTAATTGTGTAGCAAACGAAGGTCAATAAATCCGTTAAACAAATTCCAATGTCTAAATTAGTTAGACATATTTATTTTTTCAACGTATCGCTTGGTTTGCTCACGATACTATAACACATTATTCAATGTTATATTTTATTTTCACATTAAATTTTCGTAAACTATGCCGTCTTTTATTCCTTTTCGTAAAAATTACATTCACTAAAATATTACACATGATTTAGTTAAGTTACATTTTTAGGAGACATTTGAAGTATAACATTTACTAGAGAGTTGGAAAGGGACGCCACATACCAAGCGATTATACAGACAAGTGAGTGTTGAACTTTACAGTAAAACGATTGCTAGTCGCTTTGCGTATTTGTTATTGTCTATAGGAAACCCGTGAATTTAAGTCAGATTTTAGTTACGTCACAATTCAATTGAACCCTGTGTCTAGTTACATTTCCCTAATGAAATACGTAATACTATTACTTAATAAGGAAAGCTTGACTCAAACTAGGATACTATTTGACCATACACAAGTTTTGTTGTATTTCTAGGAACTTGCTAAATGTAATTTTAGATTATATAGCGTGGGAATATCGACAGACACAGAACATTAAAAAAAATCCTTTTAAGGTTTTTTAGTATTAAAGTTGTTTGCGATATCGTTTGTCGATAATATACGTATATTTTAATCAATCCTTTTTTTTATTAGTAAGATTAATATTTTGAGGCTTTTGCTTACAGAAAACTATTCCTATTTAATTAATGGTATCGCAAATAACAATTTTAAAGTATAAAGCTTGCTTCTATCACATTTGCTTCAAACTTTCATAAAGGAGTAAATTTTTTCTTACGTTTATATATTAACCTGTTATTTGCCAACACTAAAATGTAATGCTATGCACCGTAGAGCATGCGTCATTGAAATGAATTCCTGTAAATTGCGTTCATATACACCATCATTTCAATAAAGATAATTATTTACGACGCATTGTCACAAAATAATTTTGTAAGAAATACTATAATTCCAACCAATTGTGACAAATTCAACTCTATTATATTTCTAATAAAGACGACTATCATATCTTAGGCAATTTTCCTCACATGCTACGCACTGATTCCACGAAAAATTGTTCTACGTTGTGACGATATTGTTACAATGTTCTAGAGTTCTTTACGGAATTTACCTAAAGGCACCTACTCTGTATATAAAGAATTTATTAAAAAAAATAGATCTTCAATGACTTGGAATTCAGGTTAGTGTGGAGCTATGTCCTGAATTACGTATGTGGTAAGATATTTAAAAAAAAAATACTAGTTAAAACATATTATAATAATCATTACTAATTTTGGCGGGAATCCATCCCTAGAATCCTTAGTAGGTATAGTTTCTCTAAATATTGTTATACGTATTTCCTTGAGTTTTGCGTCATAACAGTTTGAGGTTCGAAAATCGCTTGCGTAGTCTCGGATGTGGTCGAGGATGTAGTTGGGTTCGATAACGGAACACTGGCTTATGTGGAACGCGGTTACGTAAACCTGAATATTGTAATACTTGAGTAAAAACAATCTTAATTTTGAGTCTATATTACTTTTTATTTTATTATATAATAATTACTTATAGATGTCAACATACTCACCCATTGGCGTATTAAAGTTATTTTCCAGAAGGCATCTCTTGTATGTGAAGTTGTGAAGAATCTGTGTTTAAGAAACTAAAACACTAGGTTAGCCTCATTGCTATTCAAGTTTTGTTCTTATTATTTTTGTATTGTTTGAACATACGAGATACATTTTTTTACTGTTTGTGGGAAAGAAAATATATTTGGTATGACAGAAAATATATATGGTAGAGTTCTGAATCATTCGAATTCGATTTAAACTAACACATTTTTTTATTATTGTGTCTCTATATACAGTTTATACTGTGTATACAGTAAACAATAACTGACTATTGTTATCCATATATCACCTATATATGCATAGCAATTAAAATGAATTGAATTTTTTGGGATAGTAATAGGTACTATTTTGATAGTTTCATCAACAGAACGTGTGGAGAAAATGTCTATTTTATTTCTTTTTATGTTTCTAAACAATCTCAGTATTTAAATATACACTTTTACCTGTACTCATGGACTCAGGCCTTGTAGGATTGCTGCTATAGGAATATCCAACTAATAGCAATTGCCGATCGTAATCTCAAGTGTTGCAATATATCTATAAGTATTATCGTCAACTTTGACTTTAACGCATTAAATTAAATAGGTAATACTATTATAAAATGATGTGATAATTTGCACAATTTTGTGGAGAGCGGGGATTGGTGATTTAATAAAAAGAAAAAACCGAACCGCCGGCGGGTGAGAGTGACAGCGGCCGCGCGCGCAAAACGAACGCACTGCGCATGTGAAAGTTGCATTTGACGTAAAATTTGGCGGTAAACTTATGCATAGAGAATAAAAATAAATAATACGAAATAGGTTTGATATATTTAATATACAAACATATTTTGAAGTAGTGCTGTGGTTTGTGATAGTGTAAGTGACTTTCCCCGTTACTTAGCCGGTGCAGGATGACTAACGCAAGTAATATAAAAGTAAGTTATGGAAAGCATTTAATTCTTTAATAGTCCGTGAAGTATGACTTTTTTGTGATCAATGTAATATAAATATTATTCGAGATAATATAAATAATAATAACCCCATATATCTGAATGCCAATATTTGTTCATTGTGAATGTATGTTTGTTTTTTTACTTTTACGCTGAGACTTTTATGTCTTATCGTCGATTTAAAAATATGAACGCATTATTGCAATGATAAATATAAAAGATGATGTTATGATTTAGAACATTTTTTTTTAATTCCACTAGGATCTGTACTTCAATATACTCTCTACGTAAGTAGGCATATTAAAACATTTTGTATAATTTTGTAACATTTTCTTTAAGTATATATTCAACGAACTGTCAATGTTTTTATGATCATCGTGATTTCGGGCTTTCTTCATTTACGGGTATAGGTATAATTAAGTGCTATACATTATAGTTGAGTGAAAGAAAGTCATTTCTCCATCGAGAACAATCTTATCAAGAAAAAGGTGAGAAGTAATGGGAAAACATTTATCTTAAAGAACACGGATGATAGTATCGGTAGTATAAAAAGATTTATATGTCACATAACGCTCTAATTTTACTAACAACTTATTAGTCGACTGAAAAAATCTTCCATTCTTAAGTAAAGGAATAAAATACAGTTTGATTCTGAGTCATTCTACATGTTTTTTCAATTCAAACTTATAATAATTAATTAAAGTTTATTTCGTATATGTATATAACTTTAATTATTCATTTTTATTTCAACTTTTTGAAAATGGAAGACGATTAGGGAACTATTTATAAAAGTAAAGTTTTAGCTATAAGATAGCCGGTACCCATTAATAAATGACTATACATCTATGGTATCTTTATACAAAACTGAATATATGCTTGTCAACTATACCTGATGTTAAATGTGATGCGGCCTCTTCAGGAGATGCCAATTTATCCCATGAATGAGCCCCTGTGATTCCACTCTAGGGAATATATAAGAAGTTCCAATACTTCACCTGTTTCAAAAGAAACGACGTTTCAAATCGTCTAGTGCGGCATTGCGTTGTCAACGACGAAGGGGTGAAACTCTAGCGTGCGCATATGTAAAAGAATTTTGCTTATCAAAGCTTTTATGTTCTCTATGGTTAAAATCCAGAGTCGAGACTTTAATGTTCGCGAAATTGACTCTCAAATGTCATAATCCAATACGTTTATGACTTTTAATCTCGACTCTGAATACTGCCCTTATTACTCTCCCAGAAACTGTTCATCATTTTCGTGCACATAATTTACTAGATGTATTATGAGAACTTATAGTTTCTTCAATGGTTTATAATATGTATGCTACTAATTAGAAGAAATTACCGTTGAATGAATTAAAAACTCCAGGTGATTGTTAGTTAGTTGTCATTTCTTGTTCGTAACCCTGTTGATAAACAAAGACTAGAGAGTAAAATGAAACAAATAATACATTTTGAATATAAATTATATTGCAGTATAAAATCGGCTTAAAGTGTCTGGTGAAAAGTATGTCATCTGTCAAATTTAATATTGCCATTCATTATAAGTGCTCACTGGTCAAATTAGTGCAGTTGCAACACATTGACCGACC